TTGGATTACAACCGGAATTTTAGGTTTTTTTTTCTTGGCACCAGGAATTGAACGCAGGATCTTGCACCAGTGCCACTGAGTTAAATCCCTGGCTTGGAATTTTAGTTTGTTTTTTTTTTTTTTGGTACCGGGGATTGAACTCAGGTCCTTGCACTTGCGAGGCAGGCGGTGGAACCACTGAGCTAAATCCCCGGCCCCTGGAATTTTAGTTTTAACTCACAACCAGTTTTGAGTTACAACTCGAATGTCGGGTGCTTATGGTTCCAGATGAGCACAGATACAGATTTAACCCTTAAAGAGTTATGGAAGGAACATTACAAATCTTTTCCTGTGTGGGGTTAACTGAGAAATCCTGGGCCAGTGTCTCTAAGGACACTGAGATCTCCCTGTATACAGGAGAGAGGCTTAGAAGGCTGTGTAGAGGAGCCTGGGCCTTCAGTTGACCAATGTGAGTTACAACCAGCCCTCATCAACGAATTGAGTTTATAAGTAAGTCAAGGTACAAAAGATACATAGAGCCAGGTGTGATGGTGCATGCCTGTAATCCTAGCACTCAGGACGCTGAAGCAGGGGGATTGCTGTGAGTTTGAGGCTAGCCTGGGCTACTTAGTAAGTTCAAGAACAGCCTCAAAAAAAAAAAAAAAGATACATAGAAATTATTATTATTATTTGGTACTAGGGATCAAACTCAGGTCCTTGTGCTTGTGGGGCAGGCGCCAGAACCACTGAGTTAAATCCCCGGCCCCGAAATAATTTTTTATAGCATTGTTTATAGTAACCAAAAATTATAGCTGGGGGTGGTGGCACATGCTTGTAATCTCAGCTACTTGTGAGGCTGAGCTGGGAGGAGCAAAAATTCAAGGGGTGGGGGCAGGGATTTAGCTCAGTGGCTCCTTGCCTGGCTTGTAAGCGCAAGGTCATGAGTTCGATCTCCGTACCAAACCCCACCCCCAGAATTCAAGGGGTGGAGCTGGGGGTGGAGGCTGAGGCAAGAGGATCACTGCAGAGGCTGGGGATTTAGCTCAGTGGTACTGTACCTGCATTGCAAGCGCAAGGTCGTGAGTTTGCTCCCTGGTCCAAAAAAAAAAGGATCACTGAGACCCTGTCAAAATAAAAAGGGAGGGCCCAGAGATTTAGCTCAGTGGCACCATGCCTGCCTTATAAGCGTAAGGTCCTGAGTTTGATCCCTGGTACTGAAAAAAAAAAACAAAAAGGGGATAAGGTTATAGCTTAGTGGTGGACTGAGTGCTTCTGGGTTTAATCCCCAGTATCCCCCAAATAAATAAAAGTAAAAAAAGAGTAGAGATGGAGCTTAGCACTAGTGCAGTTGTCTAGCATGCACAAGGTCCTGAGTACAACAGAAAATAAGAAAAATTTAAACATTGGGCAACCCCAGTGCCCATTTGGAGAGGAATATCTGAGTAGGGTTCATCTATCCAGTAGAGCCATTGAAAAGAATGAGATGAACTGATCTGGAAAGATAGCTGGGGTTTGTTGTGAAGTTGAAAAGTACTGTGCATCAGTGATCTGAGACCTCACTGGAACTGAAGGTGGCTGTGTTAGGTGGAGAGGGTGACAGTAACTCAGTAATCCAGGCCAAGTACATGGATCTGGAAATGAGATGAAGACATAGCAGGTGCTCTCAGGTGGTCCCTGTCTAGGGTCTGTCCCCACCCTGATCTTTGTGAAAACTAGAAAACAATGGTGAGAGGTGAGAGCTGTTGTCATAGAGCGCAGGGCATGTTCTGGGGAGGGCAGGTAACTCTGGGAAGACGTAGGAGCTTGGATCCTAGCGATGCCAGACTAGGGTGCATGGCCTGCAGGGAGAGGGCTGTGTTGTACGATGCAGCTGGTTTACCAGTCAAGTGTTGCCTCCTAGAGGCTTGGAGTACAAGCTTACTCCTTTGCACCCTGGCTTCAACACTGCACATCACCTGCTCTTCTCTGTAGCCCTCCTGGTGGCAATTTCCTTCCTTCCTCCCCTTTCCCCTTTGTCTTCCGTGATCGTTATTCATTCTCTCCTATCCTAGATTTGTGCTCAGGGGAGCCACTGGGAGTAGGTTTTAGAAGCAAGGATATGGAGTTCAGGGCTTCTTGCCATCCATTTCTTTTCCTTTTTTGAGACGGTCTCACTATGTAGCCCAGGCTGGCCTTGAACTCGTGGTGATCCTCCTGCCTCAGCCTCCCAAGTGCTGGGGTTATGGGTGTGTGCAACCACACCTGGCTCTTCTTGCCATCTTCTGACTACATCTTCTGTTACCCTTCTACAGACCCTCTTCTGGCTGTGCCCAAGTGTTGTCTCATCCTGGGCACACACCTGTCACCAGCCTGGCCTGGGCCCCCAGTGGGGGGCGATTGCTCTCAGCCTCACCTGTGGATGCTGCTATTCTGGTGAGTAGTCCCTCTCCCTGGTCATTTCAGCTACCCGTCTTAAGGCACGAGAGGTCTTCACCTGGTCTATGGGAGAAGGAGTGGGATCATTGTCCCTTCATTCTTCAGCTTACCCAGGGAAGGAGCTTCACCATCCAGACTCCTTAGATCTAACACTTCCCATCATCACTGTAAATGTAAACTCATGTTCCCATGTTTGACAGTCTCCTTCTTACTTCTGCCCTTTCTGGCTCTTTGTATGTTGAAGAGAGTAGTCCACTGTGAGCTTATAGAGTACTTGTGCTTCTCTCTCCTGCCCCCTCTGATAGGTATGGGATGTCTCAACAGAGATCTGTGTCCCCCTTCCGTGGTTTCGAGGAGGTGGGGTTACCAACCTGCTCTGGTCCCCAGATGGCAGCAAAGTCCTGGCCACCACTCCTTCAGCTGTCTTCCGGTGAGTGGGAGAAAGGTAGAGAGGGCAAGGATCTAGAGAAAGTGACTTAGCTTCTGGAACCTCACTGAGGACTGCTAGAGATGCTGGGCCAGGTTTTGGGGCTGAAGGCCCTAATTCCCATGTCGCCTCTGTCTCAGAGTCTGGGAGGCCCAAATGTGGACCTGTGAGAGATGGCCAACTCTATCAGGGCGCTGCCAGGTAAGGGGCCTTCCCAGAAGCTGGGAAGAGGTGATTCCAGTGGGCCCAATTGTCCAAACCTGGCTCCCCACCTCATCTACTTCTGTGACCTCCCTTCCCTGATCCTAGACTGGCTGTTGGAGCCCAGATGGAAACCGCTTGCTGTTCACTGTATTGGGGGAACCACTGATTTACTCCTTATCATTCCCAGAACGATGTGGTGAGTTAGAGCTGCATTTCAGAAAGCAGAATATCTGGGGCGATCAGAGGGAGGCAGAAACCTGTAGAATGCCACTCCGAGGAGTCTTCAGATGTGTTGATGCCCATGGTGAGCTGTCTGGGACTAGTGGGAGGGCTGTTTCCTGTTCCGAGAACCTTTGGCTTCACCCACAGGTGAGGAAAAGGGGCGTGTTGGAGGCGCGAAGTCAGCAACAATTGTGGCAGATCTTTCTGAGACGGTAGTACAGACACCAGATGGTGAAGAGAGGTGAGCTGAGTGTGAGAGGGATGGAATGGAGAGGGGATCATATTGAACACTCCTCTAATTTTCTGTCCTGGCTTGTAGGCTCGGGGGAGAGGCCCACTCCATGGTCTGGGACCCCAGTGGGGAGCGTCTGGCTGTGCTCATGAAAGGTAAGTGGTGAGGAGGAATGGCTTTGCTCAGGAATTACCTGTGTTCCTGCTTCAGCCCAGTTTAGCTCTGCCTCTGCCCTGTGACTGTCTCCAGATTTCCCTTTATTCATGGACCTTTCTTGTGTGTGATGCTTGGGACTGAACCTAGGACATCACACATGATAGTCAAGTCTTCTACTACTGAGCTACACTCCCAGTCCAACCAATTTCTTTTTCTTTTTTTTTTTGGTACCAGGGATCGAACTCGGGTCCTTGCACTTGCACAGCAGGCAGGGAAACCACTGAGCTAAATCCCGGCTCAACCAATTTCTTACAGGAAACCTGAAGGTCCAGGATGGGAGGCCAGTCATTCTCCTTTTTCGTACCAGAAACAGCCCTGTTTTTGAGCTACTTCCCTGGTAAGTGCTGGGTGGGCACCATGCCACCTTCCCACACCACGCACATCCCACTGACACCTCCCTTCTGCCTCATCGCCTCTCACCTGTTCTTGCACTTTCCTAGTGGTATTATCCAGGGGGAGCCAGGAGCCCAGGCCCAGCTCATCGCTTTCCATCCTTCCTTCAACAAAGGGGCCCTGCTCAGTGTGGTGAGTAGGCCAGGCTGCTGGGGTAGGTGGGGTAGAGAAATTCAGGGCCTCAGCTGCTGTAGGCCTCTGCTGTGAGGCAACTTTGGGCCCAGGCTCTGATACTTTTCTTTTCCCATTCTCTGCAGTGCTGGTCTACAGGCCGAATTGCCCACGTCCCTCTGTACTTTGTCAATGCCCAGTTTCCTCGTTTTAGCCCAGTTCTTGGCTGGGCCCAAGAGCCACCAGCTGGAGGTGTAGGCTCTATGCCTGACTTGCCACTGTTTACTCAGACAGCCTCAACCTCTGCCCCTTGGGATCCTCTCCCAGGGCTGTCGCCTGCTCAGTCCCACTCCCCTCACATCTAATAATTAAAAAAATGTTTTCCACTCAATTACGTTTTCTGGAGAGTTGCATTGGGGTATAGTTTGGGGGAGGCAAAGCGTGGGTTTTGGGATAAAATTCCACTTCTTTTTTTTTTTTGAGACAGGGTCTCACTATGCATTCAGTTCAGGCTGTCCTTGAACTCACTATGTAGCCCAGGCTGTCCTCAAACTTGCTGCAGTCCTCCTGCCTCAGCCTCCCAAGTGCTGGGATCATAAGTGTGCACCACTATACCTGGCTGTTTATTTTGTCTTGTGAATTTGGTCACTGTATGTAATCCTAGGAACTGGATGGTTTTTAAATGATTTAGGAAGGAAAACCAAGACGTTAGTGCTGAGGAAAATACCTAGCATCGATGTTTCACTTTTGCCAGTTTGAGTAAGTTCCCAGGATGGTGTAGGGCAATAATAGGTCATGGACTGGTCACCAAGAGATGGAGAAAGTTTTATTGGACTAGGGATTTGTGGGAGGGATTGAGCGCTGGGCCAAGGTAGCACGGGCCATGCTCAGTGCACCCTCTCGGGTGTGGTGCCCACCAATGAAGCCACTAGCATGGACGAAGATGCATCCAGGGATCCCACTGACCTGGTCCAGGGCCTCGTCCCGAAGGCCCCGCCATAGCTCTGGCAGAGGCAACCTACAAGTGAGCAGAAAGGGAAGTGAGGTGGCCAACGGACTTGAGAGGCTCACAGGGCAGAGGTCAAGGTTGGCAGCCTCTTCATACTGGGCTGAAGCAGGCCTGAGACTGTGCAGGGCAGTTCCCTGGCCTTACCGGCTCTGGAAGGAATGGAGCTCTTTGGGTACACACTGGACTCGCCACTGTCCAGCCTGGTCAGTGTAGATAACAAAGGCAGTGGTCTGGGGGGGCGACAGCCCAGATTCCAGGTGGTAAAGATGCTCCTTCCACGGGCACCCACCTTTTGACAGTTCCACAATCTCGCCACTTGGGTCAACCTGAAAGGGAAGTAGGGGATGGCTACGTTTAGGGGAAAAGCAGAAAGCCCTGCTGACCATCAGCCCACCAGCGATCAGGTGTACCTGGAAGCGCTGGGCTAGGGCCTCTTCCACCAAGGCCCGGGCCGGCAGCCAGCTACGCTGGTAGAAGTCTAGTCGCTGCAAAAACTCCTCTCGAACCAGATCCATTGCACGCCTGAACCCTGCCTGGGGATGGTGGGACTCAGAACCATAGTTCTGGCCCAAACTTTAAGTCTTAGGAGAAACCAGTGTTCTCATTTCCTTGGCTAGGTTCTTATGTGTCTCAGGTCTCTTTCCCGGGGTTCCTCCTTACCTCGGTGTCCTGGTTGGGCTGGTTCCAAGTGGGATTAAGTCGAGCAACCCGGGCACTCAGATTGGTGGTCAGGGCATAACGAGGCTCCCCCTCCCACTGGGAGATCCCATTGTCCACTGCATCCACCTCCTCCATGAAGTTCTCATACATCTAATGCAGCAGCAGAGGAGAGGCTATTGAGGACACCCACCGTTGTGCAGTCATCTAGCTTTCTTTTTGGTGGTGCTGGTGATTGAACCTAGGGCCTCAAACATGCTGACCACATGCTCTACCACTGGACTATATATACCCCAAATCCTTTGACTAGGTTTCACTTAATCCTCACAACAGCCCCATGAGGATCTATCTACCACCTGCTGGATGAAGTGTGGCAGAAGTGGGAAGTTCGGTGGCTTGCTTAAGATCTAAGAGCTAATAGTGCTGAGACTGGACTTCAGATTGCCTGACTTCAGGGCTCATTCCACTACACAAAGTTAAGCCAAGGCCAGCGTGTGTGTGTGTGCACACGCGTGTGCGTGCTACCAACTGAAAAAAGAGGCTGCTCAGTTTTCAGAGGCCCTCGCTAGACTGGATCCCTATGGCCAAGGGAGGGAAGATCTCTAGGGCTGAGTGGACCATTCAGTGACCCAATGGGGTATAGGTGGGTCTGGCCAAACACAAGTTACACGGGAAGGAATGAATTCTATAGCAGACATGAAGAGCTGGGATGTGGGAGTTTGGGTCCCAGGGAAGCCTATAATGTTTCATGTGACATCTGCAGCTGTGGCCTCTTATAAACCTGAAGAAATGGTAGAATTATTCCTTGGGAGTTTTGGGGCAGAAACAATTGTGAATGTTTTATGGAAAAACCTGTGGTACATGGCTGCCCAGCACCTCTTAGATTAGACCCAAACCTGAGGCTTGGTTAACACAAGTTTAATTTAGTTAGCTGCTTAGGAAATCCTCAGGAGTGGAAATGAAAACTGACTAGGCAGTCTAAAATCTTGGTATCCCCAAAACTCTAGTGTAACTTGTTCACAATTCTTTACCTTAGGAGTGTATGAATGACATGTCATAGGGGAAGACACTGGCAAGCCAGGCCTGAACAGTGAACAGCCCACTTGCAAAACAGCCAACTGAATCTAAGATCTGACTTGTGAAATTCACAGTAAGGTCAAGTAGGTGCCCTCAAGTATTACTTGACCTGACATTTGAGGGCAGCCAGCTCTGTTCCTTCCCCATCAGGAAGCCACTTGCAAGGGATATTGGTAGAACATCATGTTTCCATAATCAGTTCCTTCCCAACTGAGCTTCCCAACTCCTGTGTCTTAGTGGTACCTAAGATATATTCTCTCCAACCTTTAAGGCAGCAAGAACTTCTAAGCCCAGTGCTGCCAAGTATAAGCACCTCCTCTGTTAACAAAAAGGCACTAAATAATTGCTTTTAATGTATATTAATACTATGCAATGCTTTGTGGTTTTCCAAACCCTTTCTCAGAAAGGTGCAGTGGCACATGCCTATAGGCCCAGCACTCAAGAGGCTAACAAAGGAGGATCACTTGAGCTAGAAGCCTGTGGCCAGCCTAGTGAAGAGCAAGACAACAAACCAAACCAAACCAAATTGCAAGCCCTTTCCCATATATTATGTCATCCACTGCTCATACCCACCCAGGATGCACATGGGGGAGACATCACCATCCCCTTTCGGAACCAGACAGGAAAGGAACTGTTGGGCCCCTATGGGCCAAGAACCCTGACCTGAGGCCCAGTCCAGTGCTGCATGAGTGCCACTCCCAGTTGGCTTGCTGGAGATGGGGGGGGACGGTGTCTCTGTCTTCAGGTCCCCACCTTGTCATAGATGGTGCCCACCATGGTGTCCTCTTCACTAGTGCCCAGCAACTGGGCCAGCAGCTTGTGCCCGAAGTGCAGATAGATGAGTCCTGCACTGCTCAGCTTGGTCTGCCATGGCTTTCCAGGAGACAGAGAATTCATGGTCTCTGTGAAAGACCTGAGGAGCAGAGGGAAGCAGGACTGAGGTGAAGGAGTGGACCCAGTTAACTGTGTGTGTGTGCGCATGCGTACACATGCACATGTGCAGACATGGATGGGATAGGGGATGAGAATACTGCAGGAGCGGGGACAAGAAAGCCTGGATGGAAAGGATTTGGTTTTTTCTCAGGAGTCAACATAGACTATGGCTTGGGGTCTCCATTCATGCATTCACTTAACAATAGCTAAAGCTCAATGCCTGTTTACTATGTGCTTGTTTTTTTGTTTGGTTGGTTTTTTTTTTGGTGCCAGGGATCAGGGATCAAACTTGGGACCTTGCGCTTTTGAGGCAGGCAGCGCAGGCAGCGGAACCACTGAGCTAAATCCCCGGCCTTATGTGCTTGGTTTTGTGTGTAGATGTTAAGGAGATCCTTGCCTTTCTAATTCATATGTTAGAGGCAGAAACAACCAACCAAGCAAGTACAGTCCTCCTTCAGCAGATACCAAAATCTAGAGACAGAGTATTTGCATGTAAACTATGTACAACCTCCTATATACTTAAACCATCTCTCATTTACTTATAATGCTTAATACAATGTAAATGATGTGTAAACAGCTCAGCAGCACCACACCTGCCTAGCAAGCCCAAGGTCCTGAGTTCAATTCCTGGTACTAGGAAACAAACAAAGTGGTGTGTAAACAGTTGTTACAATATGTTATTATTGGGCTGGGGATTTAGCTCAGAGATTCTGGTGCCTGCCACACAAGCATACCCAAGCATACTGTCCCGAGTTCGATCCCCAGTACTAAAAAAAAAACAACCCAAAACAAATGAGGCTGCAATGTTATTATCTAGGGAATAATGTTAAGAAAAATCTGTATATGTTCAATACAAGGTCAATTTAAAAAAACTTTCTGATCTGTGGTTGAGTCCATGGATGTAGGACCCACAGATACTATACTCCTATATATACTACTGTACTATACTAGGTTACAGCAAGGAAAGGAGGGAGGGAATGAGGAAAGGGTTGAGCAGAAAGCCTTCAGGTCAGTCCTGAAAGATGCATTTCATGGAACTGCAAGAAAGGTAGCTTCTGGGGCTGGGGGTATAGCTCAGTGGTAAAGCTCTTGATGCCCTGGGTTTGATCACTGGAGATGGAAGTGGCAAAAGATAAAGGTGGAAGGGAAGGAAGGGTCCAGCCTATGGGAAACTTTGTATGCCATGTTCTGAAGTCTGGGCTTCGTCTGTAAGTAGTGGGGAGTCTTTGGGGGAATTATCAGACAGGTGCACAGCAGAAAGAACTGCACCAGCCAGCCTGGAAGACAGAAGCAAGGAGATTGCCTGGAATGGTCCAGGTGAGTAAGGCAGGAATCTGAGTAGCAGTGAGATAGACAGGGAAAAGTTAGGACACTTTAGGGAAGGAGACATTACACCTGTGATGTCTAATTAGAAAAATGTTTTGGGGGTGAAGGGTTAGGGATTGAATCCAAGGCCTTCTGTATGTTAAGCTTGTATCCTACCTCTGAGCTACACCTTAGTCTACTCAGCTGCGATTTCCAAATACCAGTCTATCTCAGAATCACCTGAGTTTGTTTTCAGTTTTATGACATTATTAAATACTGGGTAAATAAAAAATTATATTCACCATGTATAAATGCAAATGATAACTCCTCAGGTAATAACTCAGAAAATAACTCCTCAGGTAAAGTTGCAAAAGAAAATAGGGGCGGAGGATTTAGCTCAGTGGTTCTGCTGCCTGCCTGGCAAGCACAAGGTCCGGAGTTCGATCCCTGATACCAAAAAAAAAAAGAAACAAAATAAATATACTGTTGATGAAAATAGACCTGTACTAAACTATATATAAGAACAAAAGTATGATGAACACAGAATTTATGTTTTCTTTTTTTTTTAAGGGTTTTGTTATGTAGTAGCCCAGGCTGGCCTGGAACTTATAATTGTCCTGCCTCAGCTTCCTGAAAGCTGGGATTACAAGCGTGGACTACTATGCCCTGCTAAAAATTTATGATATTAGCCAGGTGTAGTGGTGCATACTTAAAATCCCAGCATTCAGGAGGGTTGAATACCTGCTGAATGCAGGAGGGCTGCTGTGAGTTCAAGGCCTGCCTGGACTACATAGCAAGACCCTGTCTCAAAAAAAAAAAAAAAAAAGAATATTGCTTTATTTGGGGGAAAGTGGGAATGGGATAGGCAAGAAGCACATAGGAATAGGGATTGAAGGTAATGGTAATAGTTTAGGCTGAGAGACTGGTGGATGGATATTCATCTTATGATTGATACTCAGAAAAATTATATTCTTTTAAGTATCAAATACTTTATAAATGTCTATAAACAAAGCCATTAGAAAAAAGGAAATGGTTAATAATGCCAAGTACCACAAATGTTCAACTAAAGTGAGACTCTGTGCTATCCCCCTGGTTTGGTCCTGAGGTCATTAGTACTCCTTCATCAGGCCGTGCCTGTGGAGAGACAGGGAGAGTATGCTACAGGGAAACAGGCTGGAAGAATAAGGTGGACCCAAGGACAGCTATTCTTTTTATTTTCATTTTTTTGGCCTTGAACTCACTATGTAGTCCAAGCTGGCCTCGAACTCGAACTGGTGGCAATCCTCCTGCCTCAGCCTCCTCTGGGCTGGGATCACAGGTGTGCACCACCACACCCAGCTTCAGCCATTCTTTTGAAGAGCTGGTGACAAATCAGGATAAAATACTAGGGATTCTTTCCAACATAATTTATAGAAGTAGATCTGGGTGTGGCAGTGCATGTCTGTGAAGGCCCTGGGTTCAATTCCTGGTACAGAACAAAACAGACTACACACATCTGAACTGTCACCAACTGTCAAAATTACATGATCCCGGCAGTCTGAGATGGGGCTGTGAAGACACATGAATGGATTAATTCCAGATGGGGTATTAGCTGCGGTGATGACAGTTGATGGAGAAAACCTGGAAGTAAGCCATGGAAGGCAAGGAAGGAGGTGAGTTGGGAGAGATCTGGGGGACCGACCAGGATCCAAGGTATGCGCCCGAAGCTGGAGAGACACGAAGAACTGAGAGCAGGACGAAAGGAAGGCTGCAGTCGCAATGGGACTCAATTTGATTTCGATGACGGAGCCTGTTTCCCTCGCTGACAGGGACCTCGACAGCGGATTGGTTGAATTGGAGCACTGAACAAAGTCGGTCAAAGAAGTTAAAAAATGGTATCTGGGGCCCAGGGATGTAGCTCAGTGGTCCCTGTGCTTGCCTCGAAAGCTCGAGGTCCCGAGTTCGATCCCCGGTCCCAAAAATTAAAAAAAGAAAAAAAATGGTATCTGAGAACTCACCTCTGGTGATGGTCATATCGGTGTCTCCGAGGGTCATACTCGCCACCCACGTCCACCACGATGTCACAAGAAGCCAATTTTTCCGGGTCGCGAGTCCGCACAATCTCAGCATCCTGTTAAGTACGCAGGCCGTAAAGGGGCTGCCGGGCAAGGGTCCCACGGGGATAGGATCAATGTTGGGTTTCCAGGGAGGTGCGGTGGGGTAGTGCTCAGACTGCCTGAACTACCAGGGGACACACTTAGGGACGCAGGCCGTCCCAGGCTGTTTCACGGACAGTAAGTACCTGGAATTCCGGCAGGAGGCGAAGCAAGGCGCAAGCCAGAGCCTCGTCGCAGTGGAAGGTGCCGTTGTGCGTCCCGATTCGGGGCGGTGCCATGAGGTTGCTACCGGGCCTTTTCGGGGGCGGGACGGACTGTGGGCCGAGCATGCAGTGTCGAGTTGGAAGCGGTGACCGAGGCAGTAGCTGCAGCAAAATACCACGGAGGAAGCGAAGCCCCATGTGACTCCCCCCGCCCCAGAGGCGCGGTGGTGGGGGGGGGGAGCACGCAGACCCGGAAGAGGAAGTACCCGTGCTGCTTCAACTTCCGCTTTTCTATGGTTCCCATAGCAACTAGTCACCAAGCGAGCAGACTGTTCAACCAGCTTTCCTGTGGCTTCCCACCAGCTGGGGACTGAGGCCTCCAAGGAGCAAGGCGTTGCCCTTGCTTATCAGGCTCTGAGCTGGGGCGCACCCTTTCCACCTCCCCCCCCAACTCTCATCACCAGTCCTTTTTTTAAAAAAAACTTTTAAGTAATTTTATTAGTAAATGTTTGCGGTACATGCAGTTTATAGTCATCTTGGGGAGTACATGTACATACTACAGCTTTTTTTTTTTTTTTTTGAATTTCCTTCCCCTTCCCTTCCAGCTTCCTCCCTCCTCCTCTAATTCCCCTATCCTGATTTTCATTCTTGTAAGGTTTTTGTTTCTGGCTATGGAACATCAGATCACTGACTGCATATGTTTTTTTTTTTTTTGGTACCGAGATCGAACTCCGGTCCTTGCGTTTGCGCACCAGGCGGCGAAACCACTGAAATCCCCGGCCCCAAGCTTCTTTTTTTTAAATCCCTCTCCCATTCCCTCCTTCCCTCTAATTCCCCTACCCAATTTTTATTCTTGTTGATTTTATTAAATTTAGCTCATGTTATGGAATATAATGTTTATATTGAGTTTGTCTTTATTCTACTTATTTTCCCCTCCCCTCGTCCTCATCCTATGCCCCTGTTCCCTTCTCTATTGCAAGAGATCCATCCCCTGTGCCCTTGTTATCTAGTTCTTGTTTTTTGTTGTTGTTGTTTTTGTTTTTCTGGTAATGGGGATCGAACTCAGGACCTTGTGCTCGCAAGGCAGGAACCATGCCACTGAGCTAAATCCCCGGCCCTGTGCCCTTGTATCTATACTTTATTATTGTTTGTACCTTGCCTCATTCAAATGAGAGACACGATACAGTATTTAAGCTTGTGTGTCTGGTTTATTTCACTTAACATATTTTCCAAAGGCATCCATTTTCCTACACATATCTCAAGCTTGTCATTCTTGATTTTTTTTTTTTTGGTACTGGGGATCGAACTCGAGTCCTTGTGCTTGTGCAGCAGGCGGCGAAACCACTGAGCTAAATCCCCAGCCCCAAGCTTGTCATTCTTTATAACTGAGTAGTATTCTATTTTATATAGATACCACATTTTCTTTATCCAATCATCTGTTGATGGGTATGTAGGCTGCTTCCAGGATTTAGGTATTACTAGTTGGGCAGCTATAATCATTGGTATGCAAATATCACTGTAGTATGATGTCTTAAGCACTTTGGGGAAGATAATCGGAAGGGGAATAGCTAGGTGAGATGAAATTTCTAATTTCAGTTCTTTGAAAAATCTCCATACTGATTTCCATAACGGTTGTACTAGTTTACATTCCCACCAACAATGAAGGAGGGTTCCTTTTTCACCACAGCCACTCCAGCATGTTATTTGTTTGTTTGTTTGTTTTTGGTACTGGGGATCGAACTCAGGTCCTTGTGCTTACAGAGCAGGTGATGGAACCACTGAGCTAAATCTCCAGCCCTGTTATTTTTTGATTTCTTAGTGATTGCCATTCTTTCTGGAGTAAGATGGAACCTTAGGGTTGTTTTAATTTGCAATTCTCTAATGGCCAAAGATGTTGAACATTTCTTTATATATTTGTTGGCCATTTGTATTTCTTTCTCTGTGAAGTCTCTGTTCATTTCTCTTGCCTATTTAATGATTGGGACTTTAATTTCAGTGTGTTTTTTTTTTTTTAGCTCTTTGTACATTCTAGATATTAGCCCTTAGTCACTCTACTAAAAGATTCTTTTGCTGTATGGAAGATTTTAAATCTGATATAATCCCATTATTTTATTCTTGCTGTTATTTCTTGTGGAAACAATGTTCTGTTTAGAAAACCCTTTCCCAAACCTATGTCTTCAAGTGTTTTACCTATGTTAACTTCTAGTAGTTTTAATGTTTCTTTTGTAATGTTTAGATCTTTGATCCATTTAGATTTTAATTTAGTATATGGTGAGAGATAAGGGTCCAGCTTCAATCTCCTGCAAACAGATAACCACTTTTCCCAGCACCCTTGTTAACTAGGCTATCCTTCCTCCAGCATATGCTTTTGGCCCCTTTGTCAGAGATCAAATAGCTGGATGTGTCCAAGGATGTCTCTGTATGCTCCATTCTGTCCCATTGATCCACATATCTGTTTTTGGTCCAGTACTATGCCATTTTTCTCCTGATGATAGCCTCTCCTGCTTTTTCCAGGGTATACTTTAATCTTGTTTATTCTCCTTTACTCAGCCCAAGCTTGCTCTGTATAGCCAGTTTCTCTCTCACTCTTCACTTTTACTTTTTCAAATAAACTTTACCACTGCTTTTTGCTCATTTTGTTCAATTCTTTGTTCAAGATGAGAAGAATCTGGAATCCAACTACAGAAGAAGTGAGCAACCCCAAACTTGGTAATGATTATTTGGTGAGCCACTTTTAGAAGAAAGTATCCACTAATACCGCTACATTGCTGAAGTTGGTTACTAAGTCTAAGAGTTTTTCGTGTAGTTCTTTGGGTCATCTATGTAGAGTCTCTAAAACTTCTATGCTGTCTCTAAAATTTAGGATGGGCCTTACCTACAAGGCCACGTTAGCAGTTAGTAAAGAGTACATGTACATTCTACTGCAGCTACTTGGTAAGAGAATATATATATACCTCTATGTATGAGTACATATTTTGTACACTAAGTGAGCTTTCTGTAATACAGCGTCCTCCCCACTCTGCCTCCTGTGTACTTAACTGAAGGTGAGAGGAGGAACTGGGGCCCTGGCACTAAGTGGGGCCAGGCTGCCTCTCAGTTCTCCTGCTTCTCTGAATTTCTCTCTCAAAGGTTTTAGGTCTTTCTAATCACAATTTGCCAGAAACCTCACTGAGGCCCGTCCCTTTCCCTGCCTGTTCCCCATCTTTCTCTACAGTCCTCAGTCACAGTCACTTGGTGAAGTCACTCCCAGCCCTAAAGCCCCACTTTCCCCAGGGCCATCAAGTAGCACTGAGCAGCCCTTACAAGAAGCATGGCAGCCCTGGAACCCGGTCACCCGAAGCCCCTCCACCCAGCCCACTGTGACCCACCAGAGACAGGGACGTGACCGTGCTGAGGAAAGTCCTTCCTGTGCTCATGCGGACTGCCAAAGTGGGAATGGACTTCGCCAGAGAAAGGGAAGTGAGAGTTGCCCAAGCAGCCTGCGTGATTAAAGGAAGAATTCATTTCCTTTTAAAAAACTTTTAATGTAATACAAGTAGATATTAATAAAGAAAATATGGGGGCCGGGGATTTAGCTCAGTGGTTCCACCACCTGCTCCACAAGCCCAAGGACCTGAGTTCGATCCCTGGTACCAAAAATAAATACTTGTCACTGAAATAAGTATACTTTGGGCTGGGGATTTAGCTCAGTGTTTCCGGCGCCTGCCTCGCAAGCGCAAAGTCCCGAGTTCAATCCCCAGTACAAAAAAAAAAAAAAGAAAATATCAACAGTCTATGGAAAAATAATTTTTCATAATAAAAATAATTAGAAAATAATAATGGTAAATACACTGTGTATCATGATCTGAAAAGAGTATATTTTCAATTGCTAATCTATCGCTCAACTCATATCCAAAAATACTATGCCATTTTTTTGCATAAAACACTTTAATTATTAACAAAGTATCTCACATTCAGTGTAATTTTAAACAATTTCTTCTTTCACAATATCTATTATATATTTTGGTCCTTATTTATACTTTGTTTCTCACATCAGAGAAACAATGTGATATTTACACATGTGTGTCTGATTTCTTTCTTTTTTTTTTTGGTACCAGGGATCGAACTCGGGTCCTTGCGCTTGTGCAGCAGGTGGTGAAACCACTGAGCTAAATCCCCGGCCTGATTTTTTTCACTTAAGAGTATGGCCTCCAGGAGCATCCATATACATAGAAAAGTTTATCCTTCTTTATGGCTGAATAGTAACCCATTATATAAAGAAAACAACATTTTTTTTATCCATTCTCAAATCGATGGGCATTTCAGGTGTTCCCATGATTTAGCTGTTTCAAACTGTGCTGCTATAAACATGGGAGTGCAAATATTGCTGTGGTATGATGCTTTTCATTCTTTTGGGAAGATATCCAGAAGGGGGATACCTGGGTCAAATGGGACCTTTAATCCTAGTTTGTTTGGTTTTTTTTTTTTGGTACCAGGGATCGAACTCGGGTCCTTGCGCTTGTGCAGCAGGTGGCAAAACCACTGAGCTAAATCCCCAGCCCTAATCCTAGTTCTTTGAGGTATCTCCACACTGATGTCCACAGTGGTTGCTCTAGTCTACACTCCCACCCACAGTGGAGAAGGGTTCCTTTTTCCCCACAGCATTGCCAGCATTACTTGTTGGTTGATTTCTTGATAATAGCCATTCTTTCTGGAGTGTTATGGAATGTCAGCATTGTTTTAATTTGCCTCTCTCAAATGACGAATGATGTTGAACATTTTTCATGTATTTATTTGCTGTTTCTACTTCTTCATCTGAGAATTGTGTATTTACCTCAGATGGCCATTTATGGCTTGAGTCTTTAAATATGGGGGGCTCTGATTTTAAAAAATTCTTTATATATTCTAGATTGTTTTGTCCAGTTTTCCAAATCATAAGTGAAACCTATTTTCTGCCAAGTTTTTAAATATATTTGTGATAACAAAAATATTCTCTTCTTTAAGATTTTGAAGAATCCCCTGACAATAGGATTTAGTCTTTAAGCTCTTAAAGGGAAAATACATAAATTTGACAATATTTTCCGCATCCATTTTGGACATTTATATACAGACATAAATCAGTCTTAACGATTTGTGTTTTTCCAGAATTGTCCATTGGAGGAAGTGACATGATTCAAGTCACACTGTGAAAGGGTCATGGTGGATGGTACTTTAAGGAGTTAAAAAGAGAAGCAAGGAGACTGTGAGGCCACTGCCAGTGTCCAGCTGAGGGATGCTGGTCACACTGGATCAGCGACGTGCCTCATGTACTGACTGAAGACATAGTAGAATCAGTTTTGTCACTGAAATGTAAGGATAGAGGTGACATTTATTGGGACAGGAACACTGTATGGGAAGCATAGCTAGAGAGTTTAAATTGAGACATGCCAAGCTGCAGATACCATCAGTCAAGTACAGATGCCATGTAAGGAGCTGGACTTTTACAATGTGGAGTCCATTGGAGATACCCAGCCTGGGAACTTCAGAGTACCCAAAGTACTTGAAATCACAAGATGATATGATATTAGCATTACTGTCTATTCCTGCCATACCAGACCACAATACACTTAGTGCCTTAACACAACACAAACTTACCATCTTGTAGTTCTAGAGGCCAGAAGTCTAATGCATCTCTGGAAAAAAATTAAGGTCATATTCCTTCCAGTAGACTCTAAGGGACAATGCATTTTCTGTTCATTCAAGATGCTATAATTCTATTGTTTGCCATTAGAAACTCAGGTTCTTATTTTCCTGCAGGCTGTAAATTGAGGGTCTTTTGTGTAAGAACACTGCATTTCCTTGACCCGTGCTTGCCTTCTTCCATCTTCATGGCCAGTAATGATGAGTGAAGTCCCTTTCACATCCTATCTCTCTTACTTTTCTGCCTTTTCATCTTCCACTTTTTAAGAACCCAGGTGTGTTACTTTTCTCTCATTGCTCAGACAAAATACCAGACACCCAAAGTTAAAGGGGAAGACATTTATTTGGCTCACAGTTCAGAGGTTTCAGTCCACAGTCAGCTGGCTCCAAGACAGGGATGGCAAACAGACATCCCACAGGAGAAACAGCATGGCAGGCACAAGATAGCAAAGGCGACAAGATGGCCTTTATGAACGTCTCTCTGGCCCTTTTATCTTATTCAGACTACTGGGATTAGGGCAGTGCCAAACCAGTCACTCACATGTAGTGGTTTAGCAATCACACCCCCTTTACCCCAGCATCACATATCCCATATTCAACTACCTCTGAAAAAGCATGAGGCTTTGGGGGACATCTAAACACTAGCCATAACACCAGGTGGTTAGTTTGGGCCCACTCAGATAATCCTGATAATCTCTCCATTTCCAGCCCTTTAACACTGAATCATCTGCAAAGTCCAGTTTGCTATGTAAGGGAAAGTCACAGCGTCCAAGGATTAGAGCATGGGCAGAACCCTAGAACGAGAACATGTAGATAGTGAAGACAGGTGGTCTAGGCGGTCTGAACCCTGGGATATTCCACAATTTAGAGGAGGAAGAGATGAGAAAGAAATCAGGAAAAGAAGCTCAGGGGCAGCCACTGAGTAGGAGGAAAAGAAGGGTGGGTAGTGAGGACAGTGTTCTGAAGTGTCCAGGAAGATGAGGACTTTGAGCTGCCCATGGGACTTAACGATGTGGAGATCCCTGGTGACCTGGAAAAGAACACTTTCAGTATGCTGGTGGGGCCAATGCATGACTGAGAACTCAAGACAGGGGGATTTCTCCCAAGAAGGTATACACATGGCCAATACGGACATGAATAAATGTCAAACATATCAGTCATTAAAGAAATAAAAGTCAAAATCACAATCTGATACTACTTACATGTATTAGGATGGATATAGTCAATAAAATGGATAATAACAAGATGTGAAATGGATAGGAAGAAATCTTGTTACATCTTGGTAGAAATGTAAAAAAAAATGGTATAGCTAGAGTGGAAAATAGGAAGCATGATTCAGGCTGTCTAGAGGGACAGAATGAGTAGTGGATATGTATACATTTGGAAAGTCCTTTATCGTGGGGATTGGCTCAGGGCCTTCTGGAGGCTGAGATGGCCAAAGACCTGCTGTGTGCCTGCTGGGGTTGGGAAAGCCACTGTAGTTCCAGTGCAGATGTAAAGGGCGGAGAACAAGAGGAGTCCTGGTGTGTGTCCAGGCTGAGTCCAAAGGCTTAGGAACAAAAAGTGCCTGTGTCTGAATGAGGGTAAGAGAGCTGTCCAAACTTAAACAGAGAGGATCAATTAGCCCCCATTTTATTTTTTTGGTCAGTTCAGACTCGGGAGATTGGATGATGCTTGCCCATATTGGGAAGGGAAATCTATGTTACTGAGTCTAGTAATTAAAATGCCAAGTTCTTCTGAAAGCAGATCCATCCAGATAGAAGTAAAGCGTTAACAGTGACTTTGGCATTCCATAGGCCCGTCAGGTTGACACATAAAATTAACCATGCAAGAACAAAAGAAAAGTAGCCTAAAGAAGGAAAAACCAATGGTCATAATGACAGGTTGGATGTCACAGATGAAAGACAGAGTCAAAATAAGTGAAATTGTGATCCACTGAGGACCCAAATCATGACTTCACCACACACACTTTGGAGAACTCTGAAGGTATTAAACCTCTGGATTATATTCCACCATCTGCACAATGCAGATTTGTGCTTCCCAAGTGAAATAAATCAGAACCACAAGGTTAAATATCACATGGTGTTTCTTATATGAGAAACCCAAAATATAAAGAAAGAACAAAATAAAAGATAGATAATAGGAAAGGGAGAGAATGGGACAAATGAGAATGGGACCAAGACATGAAGGGACAGGGAAGGGAGAGAAGGGGGCAGGGCAATAGAAACTCCCCAAACACATACAGCCTATACAAAGCCTGCAAGACCTTGAGAAAACAATCCAAAAATTCATTTGGAACAAGAAGAGACATAGAATAGCAGAAACAATTCTAGGCAATAAAAACAAGTTAGAGGGTATCACAATCCCCAACTTGAAACTATACTACAAAGCTACTGTGATAAAACAGCATGGTACTGGCAAAGAAACAGACCCAAGGATCAATGGAACCAATTAGGAGATGCAGAAACAACTTCAGAAATACTCAGCCTCCTCATCTTTGACAAAACACCCTCACTGGAGGAAAGATAGCCTCTTTAATAAATAGTGCTGAATAAACTGGGTTTCAACTTGCCAAAGATTAAAACTAGACCTATATCTCTCACCATGCACTAAATTAAAATTGAAATGGATTAAAGAACTAAATATGAAAACGGAAACACTAAACCAGCTGGAAGAGGTTAGGTAGAGAACTCTTGAAGGCATTGGCATAGGAAAAGATTTCATGAACAAAAACTCAATCACATGTGAACTAGCACAATAAATCAGTGGGATCTAATCTTATTAAAAAGCTTCTGCACAGCAAGAGAAACCACCAACAGCATGAAGAGACAACCCACAATGTGGGAAAAAAATTTTACCAGCTGTTCTACCATCTAGAATATATAAAGAACTTTTAAAAAATCAGACCTCCCAAACTTAGAGACCTAATCCAAAAATGGGCATCTGAAATGAACTGACATTTCTCAGAAAGAAGTAGAAATAGCAAATAAACATATGAAAAAAATGTTCAATATCACTGGTCATTCGAGAGATGCAGATGAAAACAAAACTGAGATTCCACCTCACCCCAGAAAAATCGGCTGCTATCAAGAAACAAACCAATAACAAATTCTGACTCTGCTGTGGGGGAAAAGGAACCCTTCTCCACTGTTGGTGGGAGTGTAGACTGATGCAACCACTGTGGAAATCAGTATGGAGAAACCTCAAAGAACTAGGATTGGATGTGCCATTTGACCCAGCTATTCCCCTGCTGGGGATCTTCCCAAAAGAATTGTAAGCATCATACCACAGTGACATATTTGCACCTATGTTCATCGTGGCACAGTTTTTAATAAATAAAACTTGGAAACAGCCCAAGTGCCCATTAACTGGAGACTGCATAAAGAAAATTTGGGGTTTTAAAAAATATGCAGCCAGGGCCGGAGATTTAGCTCAGTGGAGATTTAGCTCAGTGGTTCCGGCGCCTGCCTCGAAAGTGCAAGGTCCAGAGTTCGATTCCCTGGTACCAAAAAAAAAATGCAGCCATAAAGAATGAGAAACTAGAGACATTTGTAGCTAAATGTATGCACATTGAGGGGATACTCTTAAGTGAAATAAATAGGACACACATGTAAATACCAAATAGTTCCTCCAGTGTGAGAAACTGAAAGTGTAAATAAGGATCAAAATGTATAATAGATAATGTGAAATAGGAAGAAAATGTCCAAAGGGGAAGGGGAAGTGGGAGAGGCAGGGGAAAGGAAAGAAGGGAAAGGAATAAATATGAGAAAAGGAAAAAATGGAAACAACGTCTCTGTAAATAGGGAGGGGTGGAGGGGTTGAAGGGAGGGCAGGGGAAGGGGAAAAAAAAAAGAACCAAGATACATCACGTAAAGGTACAAATTCCTAATAATGAATGTCAGCATATTGTATATCTAAAATGTACCAATAAAATTGATGAAAAAAAAGCCTGCAAGAGGAAAGAGGAAGCTGGGGCTCCCACCAATGTTGGTGTTCCAGCACCATGCAATCCAGACCCCATCCTAACTCCTCCAGGGTGCAATCAACATCCCTTTGTAGTTCCTGTTTCTGGCCCCTGTTCTCAACGACAGACTTGTGACAAAGCAATGAGGACTTGCAGAGTCCATCAGGCAGGTTCTCCTGGGAGTGCCTCTGGAGAGGAGTGCTCGGGCTATGTCAGTGACTGCAGAAGAACCTTGGCTTGCAGGCGTGTGGATCCTGAGTGTGCAGGAACAGTGGGGCGCTGTTGGAGAAGTCACAGGAGCAGCTGTGCTCAGGGAGGAATGTCCACTGGGTCAGGCTAATAAGATCAAGGGCACCTGGAGCTGAACCAAAGCCAGAGGAAGTAGGCGACCCCAGGTGTCAGACTCAGAGGGTGGGGTGTCCGAGGAGTGTTTCATTCTCCTATTTCCTCCAATTAAATCATCTTTGTAGGCAGGCATGGAGAACAAGCTTACTGTAGACACTAGTAAGTGGCCCCCTTGCTTCTGGATGTTGTTCACCAATACGCTGGGAATACAAGACAGAGGGTTCTGGAGAAGCTGGGGATAGATACGGTGGCCCCAGAGGGACCTCTGCATACCATCAATGTCCATTCACATGAATGTTTATGAATTCTCCCAAAGCACCCAGCACTACACTAGTCAATTATAAATGTGCTTAGTTCATGCTGTAGATATTACAAAAAGGTAAGAACAGTGGGGACAAAAATAGCAGGGGTCTGAGTTTAGGAAGCCCAGAGCTGGGCAGTGGGTGACCTGTGAGTAGTCAGGCTGGCCACCACTCCCAGCTCTCACCTTGTCATTTTCTTCATGAGGTTTCCATATTATAATCTGCCTGTAAGAGCTCATCAGTGCAGACCTGTTGGTCCTGCTGCAATCCTGCACCAGAGTCATTGACAGAATGGAGATTGATTTTGTGCCAGGGAAACCAGTAATGCTCCCCCCCACCATGAACCTGAGGTCATCATGGTTACAGCCACTATCCCCTCTGCAGGACCCACTTCCTGGCAGCAAAAAGTGCAGGCCAAAGGGAGCCCGGGGCCAATGGGAGAGAGGGGAGATCTCGGAGCCCAGAAGGGAAATCCAACCTGCATTGTTCCAGCACCATCTTCTTCCTCTTCTCATGAAGCTTCCAAAGATACAGTCTAGCTCCAAGAAGCAAAATCACAGTCATGAAGCCCCCTAGTAAGCCTCCCGTGAGGCCAGCGGTGGACTGTCCAGATCTACCTGTTTCCCACACACTGAGAGAGTGAAAAATGGTTAAGGCAGGAGAGAAGTCAAGATACCCACTGGAAGGGTGAGAGAGTAGAAAGGCAAAGTCAGAAGTCCTGATTCAGGGACGGAAAGGAAGGACCATGCAGAGTCATCATTCAACCAGTTCCCCAGCTCCTGCATGGTGCTGGGACGCTGAAATGAACAAGGTAGGGTTGGTGCCCTTGAGAAATTCGGGAGCTATGAGGGAAGGCAGAAAATACCAGCGGCCAGAAAGAGGGACCTCACTGCAACCGAGGTTTAAGAAGGTTATAGGGTAAACTTCCTGAAGAAGGTTATAGGGAAGAGTGGGAGGTTCACCGATATCAGGGGGAAGTGAGAAGTCCTGCAGGGGAGGGACAGGTAGGGAGGAGCTGTAGGTGACCAGGATCACAGGGAGGTAAAACCTGAAGCCAGATGGAGAGGCGTCATGCTGACTGGAACTTTACCTGACACTCCTAGATGGGAGGCGGGTGGAGGATGTAACAGGGGATTATAACTGACACTGCCATGAGGGATGCCTGCACCATTACTGGAGGAAGGGCAAAGAGGAGAAGACTGCACACAGCTCCCAGATCATCCATTTAGTCAATAAAACACCTACTGTAAACTGTAAACACCTACTGTACTTGGCCAAAGGATCAAAGAGAGAACCAAACTGTGTCCCTGCCCTAAAGGCACTGCAGTTTGTGGAGGATTCAAGTACACAACTGACCAATACTGGCTGAGAAGAGGTGATGCTTTAAAGGCTCTCAGGGGCAGCGCAGTCAGAGGGTACAGCAGCAGCTCTGTGTGCCGTGTGCCCGTGAGTGCACAGCATGGGCAGACAAGTTGTGAGCCCTGCGTCCTACAGGGAGAAAATGGAGGTCAGATCTGGAGATGAGCCGGGCATACGTCCACTTTTCCAGAGCCCACTCTGTGCCCACAGTGTGTGACAGACAGGGAGGGAGAGTCACTGCTGCCTGCAGCAGCGGGGAAGGGCAGGAATGTGAGGGACATTTACAGGCAGATGTGAGTTGGATGTGAGTTGGACTCCAGACTTCACAGGGTGATCATGTGCAGGTGGGGGTGCAAATGAACCCAGCAGGGAAGAAAGCCTGGAACCCCACACTGCAGTGCTCCCTGAGCTTCAGGAAGCCCTCCCCTCCAACAGGAAGGACTCACCTCGTGGACAGATGTCACTGAGGTCTGAGGTGGCTCTGTTCTGATCCGCGGGGTTGCTGACCAAACAGGTGAGGCTGCCATTGGCCTGGCTCAGGGGCAAGCTCGCAGCCTGGGTCCAGGGGGTGGGGGCTGGTACTGGTGTCCCTCTCTGCTCCAGCTCTCTGGGGAGGCCCTTGCTCTCCCAGGTCACATTCAGGTTCTCTGTCGCCCCTGTGGGTCTGCACTCTAGGGTGGCATTGCACCAGCCTGCTGTGACAGACAGCGACTTGGCCAGGATCTGCGGAGGGGACACTGGCTCTGGGAAAGTGAGGACAAAGAAGAGCCTCACATGTCACACATTCTCTCCAATTGTCTCACTGCAGCCTATGCAAGTGCCCAATGAGGAAGGAAGGAGCACTTGACAAATAAAACACGTTTGCCTCAAGCTAACTGTTGAGCAAGAGACAGTAGCCACTGACTTAAGCCTTAAGTGATCTCCCTATATTAAGCAAATTTTAAAATTTTCCCATGAGAAAAGGATGGTTAGACCCCCCCTTCCAGGAACCATTATGTTCCACAAATTGGGGTCTTTTCTGGAAGGGGAAAAGATCTGGCACAGAAGCGCTTGTCCTGGTCTCTGCGAAGACACAGCAGAGCTCCATCTCTCAAAGGCGGAGACATCTGTGAGAAGCAGGGGTCGTGGCCTGGGTCACAGCTCCGAGTACAGTTAGATCGCGCCCTGAACCTGTGGTCCAGGCAGGAAGACAAGAGTCAGATTCACTAGCAGCCCTGGGAGACACATGGGACTTCAGACTGTGGAGGCCGCTCTTGCTAACAGGCGCTGCCCTGTACACAGACGCCCAGGAAACGAAGCTGGAGAAGTGGATTTCCTAAGGAGCGCAGGAGTCAGCGTAAACCTTCTCCCACAGCTCTCACGGCTTGGAGAGCTGGAGTGTGGAGTCCAGTGAGAGCGAGCCTCAGGCTTGTGCTGCACGGGAGGAGCGAGGACGGGAGGACCAGGTACACACGCGTTCCTAATGTGGTGGGAAACTGGACTGGCCCCTCCCACCCACATCCTGGTCCTCAGAACCAGGGAGTACGGTAGGTGACACGGTAGAGAGCTGACCTTGAGATAAGTGATCGCTGCAGATTGTCTAGGTGGGCCCAGCCTCAGCACTAGGGTCCTTACAAGTGGAAGAGGGACAGAAACGAGCGTCTCTGAAGGACGCAGTGTGAGGAGGACTCAACCCAGCCACGCTGGTGTAGGTAGAGGAAGGGGACCAAGCCGAGGAACGCTGATCACCATAAAGCAGTGGACAGGGGATGGAGTGGACTGTTTTCCTCTGGAGCCTGCAGAAGGGAGCACAGCCCTGCTGACACCGGAATTTCAGCCCAGGGAGAGTCACATCTGGTGCTGCTGCAGCACAGCAAGGTAATGCATTTGTGGTGTTGGTGCCAATAATGGGTGTTAATTTACTACAGCATCAGCAGAATACGGATATAGAAGTTAAGTAAATTTAGACATATAAAGAACAATTCATGTTATTGTAAATATAACCAAATTCCCATTTTCCTCCCCCAAAGCACTGGAAGGGATCTCTCTTGTAAAAATCTCAGTTTTGCTTTTTGTGTTAAACACACCCCATTTTTAGGAGAGAGATGACATACTGGTGGCTGGAATCTAAATAGAATCCTGCAGATTTTCATCTATGAGGCTCCTAGGCTCAAAATAAGGAGGAGGCCATGGGGTTAGGGTGAGGAGGTGTCACTTACCACAGACCTTGAGGTCGAAAACTTGGTGAAGGTCTTCTCCTGTCACTAACCAACACTGTGCCGTGTACTGCCCACTGTTCTGTGGGCTCAGGTTCCTAATCTCCAGGGATGTCACACTGGGCATTTGGACCCTTCCTTTGTACTTGTCCTGTAGCATCAACAAGGTCCCATTGTAGATTGTCAGCATCCATGTGTGCTCGGTCCCAGAGAAAAAGACCCAGGTGATGTCCTCCACCATGGCTCCTAGATCTTTTCCTGGCCACTGGGTCACATGGAGCCAGACAGAGCCTCCGCAGATCCCCTTCACAAGAATGGGGCCTCAGAATCTTGAATCCCAGTGCCATGATCTCCAGAGCCCTGTGCAGAATAACTCCAGACACCTACGACATCGAAAGGGGGAACATGAGTATTTCCTCAGCGAGAGGCAATGAGAGAAACAGAGGGCTTTTCTTTTTCATCAGTCCCCTCAATGTATTCCTTGATTTTCACAAGGCCCCAATAGAGCCATGGAAGCCATTCTGGGCCTGAGCTGGATCTTTGCAGTGGGGCCTGGACGTCGCACTGACCCTGGCTGGCCTTCAGGGGTTTCCTGCCTTGAAATGGCAGTGTGAACCAAATGACCTTGTGGATCTAAACCACCAGGCACACCACTGAGCCCACGGTGAGTGCCTGACTGTAGGAGGCAGCTTCTAAAGCAGCTCCCTAGGACCCCCTCCTCCTGTGCAGCCCGTGTCCAGTCCCCTCCCCTGCAGTGTGCACTGCACTGAGAGACTGGCTCTGAGGTGCAGAAAACAACAAGAATGGCGGGAGGTCACTGACTGCATCCACAGAAGACAGACACAGCTCCTGCTGGCTCATGCTGGCTCCTGTCCTTCCCTGCCTCCTGCTGGCTCTGATGGAGTCAGCTGCCCTGTCATGAGCTGTCATGTGCAGAGGACCCCATGGGGAGGTGCTGAGGCAGCCTCTGGGCTACAGCCAGCCAGCCATGGGGTCTCCTCCTGGCCATGGTCCACCCATGGTGCCCGGAGCTGCTCCTTCCTCCTCCACCCTTGAGAGGTGACACCCGGCCCACACCTGGATCTCAATCTGCTGGACCAGGGTAAGAAGGCCCAGCTGAGCTGCACATGGGCAGTGGCCACTCCGACCCCAAAACTGCCAGTGCAGGATTTGCTTTAAGGCAGAAAGTTATGGGGCAATAGGTTCCTCCAGGTAGAAAACTAAGACAATAACAAGTATTTTCCTCTCCCCTCTGTCTAGGGAGTACATAGTTGAGGTGGGCTAGGTGTGATGTAGTTATAGTTCCACGCTCTGTCTCAATCACACTGTGTTCTGCAAATGAGGGAGGGGTCTTGTCCCAGTGGCTTGGGCTCCACCCCCTTGAAGCCCACAGCAGCCTCTCAGCCTCCTTAGAGGATGAGAAGTGTGGCACACACTTGTAATCCCAGCACTCGGGAGGCCTAGGCAGGAGGAGCGCCATGAGTTCAAGGCCAGCCTGAGCTACCTTGTGAGTTCAAGGCCAGTTTAAACTACATAGCAATACCCTGTCTCAAAAAAAAAACAAACCACACTAACACATCCCCCCACCCAGAGAGCGCAAGTGTTCCCTTTTCCATATCCTCGCCAGTGCTTCTTATCTTTCCTCTTCTGGGTAATACCCATTCCAACAGGAACGAAGTGGTAACTCATTGCAGTTTTAATCTGCATTTCCCTGATGATTAGATATTGAACATCTTTCATATATCTGTTGCCCATTTATTTCTCCTCTTTTGAGAAATATCTGTTCAAATATGTTGTTCATCTTTAAATGAGATTACTTATTTTTTTGCTATTGAGTTGCTTGAATTCCTTAAATATTAGAACATTAGTCCCTTTCAGAGGTACAGTTAGCAAATATTTTCTCCCAAGTCAAGGGTTTTCTCTTCATTCTATTGTTTCCTTTCCTGTGGAGAAGCTTTTTAGTTTGATGCAATCCCTTTGTCAATTTTTACTTTGATTTGGAGTTCTAGCCAAGAAATCATTTTCCAGATCAATGTCTTAGAGCTATTCCCTTAAGTTTTCTTCTAGAAGCTTTATATTTCAAGTCTACATAGTTTTAAGCCTTTATCCATATTGAGCTGGGTTTTGAATACACGGTGAGTTGCGTCTCCAATTTCATTCCTGTGCACGTGGAGATCCAGTTTTCCCAACACAATCTACAGAAGAGATTGTCCTTTCCCCATTGTACTTTCTTAACACATTTGTGAAAAATCAAATCAATTGAGTATAAATGCTTGGATTTCTTTCTGGCCTTTTATTTTGTTCCACTGGGCAATATGTCTATTTTCATGCCTAGTCCATGCTGTTTTATTACAGTAACTTTATAATCTATTTTGAACCATGGAATGTGATGCATCTGGCTTGGTTCTTTTGTTTTTGTTGTTTGTGGTCTTTTCTGATTCCATACCAACTACTGGGTATTTCTTTATATTTCTATGAAAAATGCCATTTGGAATGTTGATTGGAATTCCACAGAAGTCAGGACAGCTTGTTTGCCCCTGGGCCAAAGTATTACTTTCATGAAGTTCGATGTGTCAATTTTTAAAGAACTTATTTATTTTACATCTTGCTTTAAAGGAGAGTCCTCACTTCAAAAAGGTATGCTTTTTTGTTTTCTCTAGTTTTCTCTCTTACTTTCATGGTTTCAGTGCTAATGTTTAGTCTCTGATGGACCTGAGATTTATTGTGGTGTCAGTTAGCTGACATAGTTCGATGGTGCACTGGAGCAGTGGCAAGACTGGAGTCAGTGAGATCCTATGTGAGTCCAGGTCCTCCCTCTTCCTGCAGTGTGAACACGAGCAGTAATTTAATCCCTCTGGCTTCAGCTTTCTCATCTACTAAGTGGAAATGGTGCAGTGGTGGCGAACCTATTGCACACGTGTTGCAGCGGGCACACAGAGCCCTCTGTCTGCACCCGAGCCAAGTCGGCCTAGCATCGCCCCGGTAGGGGAGCATTGGATAACAGTGCACACAGGGGCAGTGTTGGCACTTGTGATAAGTAAATGGGTTTGGGGTTGCAGTTTGGGCACTCAGTCTCTAAAAGGTTCATCATGAAAATAGCATGTACTTCAGTGAACTGTTCTTTGGATTTAAGCAGGGAAATACTTCCAGCACAGTATCCAATAATTGTTCCCCTTAATCCAGCCACTGTCATCATCACCTTGAGTATCACTGGACCAAGTACACCTGTGTCAGAACCAGACCTTTCCAATTCCCGGGCTGGTGTGGTTTCCTCACCACCACTTGCCCTTCTCAGGGTCCCCTCCTGGGAATGGGGATGGGACTCAGGGAGTCAAATATCCTGTGGGTCAAGCTCATAGTGCCTTGAGTTCAAGGTCCAGCCCTGGTTTTTGTGCTCACCAACACCTTGGGTTTAAAAGGAAATTCACCAATCTGTGCCCACAGGGCAACCATTAACTCCCCTGTTACCGAGTGCCTGAAAACTTCTGTAGGCTGTGGGAAGGTGGAAGAAAGGACTTCTTATCCCAAGCTTCAGCTAAAGTTTTCTAACTGTATATCATTAACTCTATTTGGTTAACCCATTCCCCCCTCTCTTTAGTGGGTGGTCTTACCATAGAAAAGTACTCTATGTCACATTGAGAACAACTCCATAAGTTGTTGAGTTCTTCAAGTCCAAGTTCAAAGTGCACCTCTTCCCAAAGTCAGCACTGCAGATAACGGGTACCCAGAAATGCTCTGGACCTGTGTGGCCCAGCAGCTCTCTGTAAAGGGTTTGCTCCATGGCTGCTGGGCTGAGCAGGGCCCTCTTTTTTTTTTTTTTTTTTTTTTTTGGTACTGGGGATCGAACTTGGGACCTTGTGCTTGCAAGGCAGGCGCCAGAACCACTGAGCTAAATCCCCAGCCCAGCAGGGCCCTCTTGATTCTTCCTTTGCACCAGTTCTAGCACCTTGTGATTCCTTTGATAATTAATGAGAGGAACACAGTAAAAGTAGGAGGTAACACCTTCCATACAGAGTTTATCACACACTGAAATATAGTTTCCCACTGAAACCAGTAACAAAACCAGAACTTCCCCATTTCTAAAAACCTGATACCAAGCTGTTTTTCAGGAAGCAACCACAGACCTTCAGAGCAGAATGAAACCAAAAGTCTGCAAGAGGCAGGAACAATGGCTGAACAGTCCTACAGACCTGGATTAGGAGCTGGAGCATGGTTCACAATGGGAAGACAGACCAAGTAGTGGAGTTACCGGAAACTCCCAATGACAATGTGTCCATAATGTCTACAATGCCCATTGTGGGTGCCATAGACTATGCCACTGTGAGTCCCTGTAACAGCCTGCAGCCCTTTTCTGTTCCTCCCCGCCAGGCCAGAAAATCCATCCCCACACACACGTCCTACAGGGAAGCAGCCTTGTGCCTGCCTTCTGTCTCCTGGTCTAGGCACCTACCAGAAAGCTCTCCCTGCAAACACCAGCGCCATAGCATTGTCTCCAGGTCCAAGGCAGGAAGCCCCAGGTGGCGTCAGTGCAAACATGGACTGTAAATACAAGTGAACGCTTCAGTGCAGTGCTCAGAGAAACAACCCTCTTTTCCAGCGGGGAAAGAAGCCAGCTGGACTCACTGAGAGACAGTATCTCCAATTCAAAAGGGCACCTTCCTTGGGAATTCCAGGGAGCATTCTAGTCAGAACAAGGTTTGCTGCCCTCCCTGCCAACCCTGCGAGTGGGTCACCCAGACAACAGCCGGTGTCTTCTGTCCCTGCACAGACAGGACCTGCAAAGGCCTGCCTGAGGCTTTTCTTAGCTGCTCCTAACTGGGGCAACACTGCAGCCTTCTGAGCCTGGTTTGGGGACCACGTTTGCAGAGGCTGTGGGAAGGGCCGAGATGTCCCTGGGCAGGGAGACTGTGGTCAGGAGCCCTGAGAACCCCTGGGACCTCAGGTGGAGAGGGCTGAAGAGGAGAATCCCTTTCCTGCGTTGGGGGCTGAGGAAGTGGCCACAGGGACAACCCACATCTTCTTCAGGAAGACTGCAAAAGTGTAGAAGTAAAAATGGCTTTTAAGTTTAAAAACAGAGTTTCGCTTTGCTCTGCTGGTTACAGGAAGGGCCCTGGAGATAACCTGTCAAGGCCCTTCCTTCTACAGAGGAGGGGGGCTCCGGGAAAGCAGACCTGTCTGGGGCCTCAGAAGGCAGAGCTGGACACTGAGCCAAGGACACTGCCCCCCAGCTCTCTGAACTTTTCCCCTCTCTGGAGTTCACCCTCCCTGCACTGCCTCCCAGCAGCTGCTGCAGTCTCATCCTCCTACTGTGTCCCCCTCTGGAGGGCAAACCAAGTGCTTGGAGTGGCTGAGCAGAATGGAGACATCTGCTGCCTAAAGGTTAAAGAGCCAGCCCCTCCAGATCGCCCACTTCCTAGACTAGGAGAGAAGTGTTAGAGAACTAAACATTAGCAGGCTAGAGATACAATGGGAGTTCAGCATAGCATGTCCTGCCAATGAGAGTAAAGAAAGTATAACAGATTTATAATCAATTTGTTAGTCTCAGAACCAAAGCAATGACAGAGCACAGTGAAAATGTAAGGTTATACATTGAGCACTTTCTGTATGGCATTGAGCTGCCTCTTTCTGAAACAAGACACACAGCATTCCTGGTCATCACAGCCTGTGGCCCAAAGATACCAGAAAGGAGAACATTGTTTAAAGACCCTCTTGGCTTGGGCTGAGACCTGATTATGAGAACGTTTCTTTCCTAAGTTTTTTAAGTGACTAAGTCCCTTGAGGGAACACTGGCTATGTGAAAAGAACCAGGAGGACATTTGTGGAATATCAACATCCACAGTAACCTGGATGAAAACTGTCCATGGAGATAAAGCAATGGCGATCACCCTGGTTCTCCGAATCCCAGGGGTAACTCTCCTGTTTTAAAAAAATATCAGAACTCCCTCAGTGCTGATGCCTACAGACACAGCTCCGCTTCTCTCTGAAGCCACAGTACAACACTTCAATCTGGCTGTTTGGTCCCGAATTGATGGGGACCTCCTCTGCTTTTCAAGGGTTGAGGTGGGAAAAGTGATGAGAAAGAAAGTCCCACCCCAGGTCTCAGGACCTGAGCAGCAGTTCAGGGTGCAGGGGAGAGGGCGCTTCCCAGGGAGGTTAAAGGCTGCTTCTCGAAGTACTCCTCCTACCTGACTCCCATGCATTGTCGCATTTTAAATCAGCACCGAGGTGCAGTGCAGAGTGCGCACATGGCTGTAAGATGCACCTGAGCCCCAGCTGGGTCCAGGAGGGCCACGCTTTCCTGTCACTAGAGAAGCCCCAGAAACCCAGACCCAGCAACTTCTTCTGGCTCAGGCCCCAGGGTGCCCATGCAGCTGTGTCCACAAGACAGCAGCACAGGTGCTGAGAATCTGCTCAGTTCCAGGCCAGGGACAACGTGTCCTTGGCCTGTATTCCTTGGACCAGCTTCTCACTTTGTCTCCACTGCTCTCCCCAGGCCACTCCTGCCTCTCCCTGCTGATAGTCATAGGCAGCTGCACTCCCTGGTCAAGATCCCTTCCTGTAGACAAAGCCGCCCTAGCTCAGGATCCCCAGCCTCATCAACACCAAAAGCCAGTTTCTCTTCAAAGCTTATCCAGGGCTCTACCTACCATGCTGCATTCTTAATCTTAGCAGAGGGATTTTCCATTTTTGTCCCCAAAGACTTCAGGGGCCCATAGCCTTCAGGACTGAAGGATTCCAGCTGTCCCAGTGCCTCCTAATTGCCCTCCCTTCCAGGGTCCCCGCTACTCACTGAGGAAACTGAGGACTCCTAGGAGCCACGAGGCCCAGCAGAGATAGGGAGCTCTTAGGCTGGGGTCCATCACAGCTGTCTGCAGCTCTGCTCAGCTGCAGAAAAACTGCAGAGGGAACAGGCAGGAAAGGAGGAAGAGCTTAACACTTATATGCTAACTCCCAAGAGGGCGGGGCCGCAGCTCACCACCAGCAAGACCAGGATACACAAACACTCAGCTCTTTCCTCCCAGCACATAGAATATGCCTGTCATGCGTAACTGCAGAGTAAGTGCACACACACCCTACTCCAGGTGGGTCCACATCCTCAAGCACAGAGCCAGTTTGTCATTCCCACACAGAGACCTCCACACTCCTGCCCCCTCCTTCACCTGCTCCTGGATGCACAGCTCTGCCCCTGGCAGTGCCCTCCCCACTGCCAGGCTGTGGCCGGGCACAGACACGCATTCTCCCAGCAGGCCTGGCTTGGTCCTGTGGATCTGGAGAGACCTCAAAGCTTCTTGGGCTGAAGGCTTGGTCCCCAGCTGGTGGCGCTATTGGAAGGTGATGGAAGCTTTAGGAGGTGGGGACTAGAGGGAGGCAGATGTCACCAGCGGCATCTTGAAGGGTATATTGATTGGCATCCTGGATTCATTCTCATCTTCCCCCCGCTTCACCTGTGTCCTCCTTGAGCTGAGCCATTTTTCTCCACCACATATGCCCAACCATGATGTTCTCCTAGCCCGGAACCCAGAACCAAGCAGCCAGGTGACCACAGACTGAAGCCTCTGAAACCATGAGCCAAAAATAATCCTTTCTCAGGTAAGTTGTCACAGTGCCAGAAAGGTGACTGACATGCCAGCCTAGGCCCTCCTGAGTTTATTGGTTTTCCTCTCTCCCCATCCCAATCAAAGAGTCAAATTTCCAGTCTGATTTTCTAAGAATTTCTTCACCTGTCAGTTGTCTAAAGAAGCAGCTCTGGGCAAAACCAAAGCTGAGGGTTAACCCTGACCTCCAGTGCAGGTGTTTGTGTTTTCTTTGCCTGGAAGCCTCATGTGTCCTCAGCTTCCACTGACATCCACCACCCTTTCTCCACACTCAGACAAAGAGTCTGATAAAAATCGGACAGGCTCCTGGTGGCATTGTAACCAGCAGCTTCCTTTGGGCTCCTGCTGGCCCCATCTTGCCACATGGAGTGGGGGAGAGAGAACCCACGCTCCCAGCCACAGTGCAGCTGACTCAGCCTCACCACCACCTGCTTAGCCTCTGCTCCAGGTTCTCCCTCATGACCTGGACGGCCACTGGTAGGAAATTTTTCCCCTCTGTTCAACCGTGGCATCAGCACCCCTTCCTAGCCCTAGACAGGATCCCTCTTCTCCTCTCTTGTGGTTCCTTGAGGCCACCCTGGCAGAACAACCTAAGCCTGGCCCTGCATGCAGGCCCGGCCATGAGCCTGCGACCAGGCCTATCAGTCTCTGCATTTAGGCCATCTGAGGCTATGAGGCAACCTAGAGGGGGAATTGAGGCACAGCACAGGGGGTGCGAATTGTTGATTCAAACTGAAGTGAAAATGGCCACCCAGGAGTCAGGGATTTTCAATGTCCAGAGTCAGTGCCCTGACTGGCATCGGAGGGGTTCAGCTTTATAGATTAAAAAGAGCAAGGGTTAGGGTCGGAGATGTAGCTCAGTGGTGCCGTGCCTGCCTCGCAAACACAAGGTCCTGAGTTTGATCCCCAGTACAAAACAAAAAATTAATCAAAAAGCCAGGTTGAGGGTCCAACAAACCCTTGTCAGTCACACTTGCTTTGAATGACATGAATAACAAACACGGGCCATTGATTGGTTGTTGCTCACTTGTGTCATGCCTTTTGCCTTCCAGGTTAGAATTACACTGAACTGAGGCTGCGTATGTAACTCAGTGGTGAGCATTTGCCTGGCATGTGTGAGGCTCTGGGTTCCATTCCCAGCACAGTACATATAAAAAATGAAAGAATTTCAGGAAGTAACACAAAGCATTGTGCAGTACCAGTCCTGCCCCAGGCAAAAGAACTTTGTGACCTCACTCTTGTGATTTATCCATCCTTTCTCGTACCTGAGTCCTGGAGGGTTGAACAGTCTGAAAAAGGTCACACAACAAACCCGGTGCAGTTCTGAATCATGAAACAAGGTCAGGAGTGAGCCCAACCTCCCAGCGCTCTTCCCTCCTGCTCTGTGGCCTCAAGGAGCCCCTGGAGTGCAGTCGGCAACACTCACTTCCAACTGCTCCTTGGTAGCCTAGATGACAGATCCTGGACACCAGCTCAGTCCCCTTTCTGCACCCCAAGTGGAGGACAGAGGTGGTCCCTGAGTCCCGCGGGGGAAGCTTTTGTGGTGGAGACCAGATCCGGGTTCACCCACCGGCCCTCAGGTGGATGGGCACCAGGTCTCAGTGCACCACCATCCCGTGCCCCTGGAGGTGGATATAGAGGAAGATGTCATTTGGTATTAGGAGAGAATTAATTAATTATGAAAGAAGCCCCTAGTTCATAAAGTGGTGGCTTTTTTGTTCTAATGCTGATCAAATTCCAGGCACTTTAAAATTGATGATGCTCCTTCTCTCCTGAGCTCAAGGTTAAATTAAACCCTTCACTTGAAGATATATATCACATTTTATTTTTCTATTTATTCCACCTTTCAGTGCTAAAAAGTCTAGTTAGGACCAGTGTTGTTAACCTTTTTGGAATCTTTGGATTCTTTTGAGAAAGCCATGGAAGAGTGACCCTCAGCGCCCATACTCAAAATACTACATTCAACTTCAATTCATTTACATGGATGTATGGACTGGCCACTTTTTTATTTTCCAGGGTTTTTTTGTTTTTGTTTTTTGGTACCAGGGATCAAACTCGGGTCCTTGTGCTTTTGAGGCAGGCAGCGGAACCACTGAGCTAAATTCCTGGCCCTTATTTTCATTTTTATTTTTTGTTAGTACACATTTTGAGAACATAATGCTTTCATTCCTCATAGGGAGTTGGTAAATGTACATAACACACATCTTAATTAGTTTTCATTCCCTTGCCTCCTCCCTCCCTCTATCTCTGGATCCCCTTCCCATTTGTAAAAGGTCTCTATCTCTTGATTTTCTATTATATATATTTTATCTTGCTATTTATTCATACTTTTGGGTTTCTCAAATAAAAGAAACCATATCATATTTAAGCTTGAGTGTCTGATTTATTCACTTAACATTATGATCTCAAGGTGCATCCATTTTCCTACAAATGATTCAAGTTTACCCTTCTTTATGGGACTGTTGTACTCATTGTGGGTAAATACCACATATTTTCATCCATCCATCTGTTGATGGGCATATGGGCTGCTTCTAAGATCTAAGTATTATGATTTGTGCCACTATAAACATTTGTACACATGTGTCTCTATAATATCATGTCTTTAACTCTTTCAGGAATACACCTAGAAAGGGAATAGCTAGGTCAAATGGAATTTCTACTTTTAATTTTTGAAGAACCTCCACACTGATTTCCATAATGGTTGCACTAGTTTACAGTCTCACTGACAATGTGGAAGTGTTCCTTTTCCTCCACAGCCTCTCCAGCTTTGTTATTATTTGATTTCTTGATGATGGTCATTCTCACTGGCCATGTTAAGAACTCTGATTTAGTGATTCTGATGACAGGTCCTTCCTTATCCTCTTCTGTAGCACCTATACCACTGCTCTGCACCTAAAGGAGGACAATACCAAACTTCCCAAACCACAGTTTGGAAATCTAGTTTAGGAGTTCAGGCCTGTTGAAAGGTACTCATTCATCTTGGGTATTCCCATTTTACCAGGCCCTTGGAAAAATCCACAAATGTGATGATTGGGAAGTTACTTTATTTTTTTAATTTTTATTTATTTATTTATTTTGTTTTGTTTTTTGGTACCGGGGATCAAACTCAGGTCCTTGCACTTGTGAGGCAGGAGATGGAACCACTGAGCTAAATCCCCGTCCCGGGAAGTTACTTTAGATAGTTCCTAGATCACTAGAACATATGATCCCATGGGGCAGCATTTGAATAAGCTAATCTTTGAACTGAGTTTTATTAATGTATTTGTCTCTTCTTTACCCATTCCTGTATCACTTAATCCAGTTGGAAGGCTTGGAGTGGAAAGAGAGGGAAGCTTCCAAAATTCCTAAGGTCAAATTATAGATGTGTGTACGTGGAGGGGAGGGGGGAGGCTATCCTAGTAGTACAGCTAGAAACAAAGGAGCTGAGTCACTCTCTTCCATTTGTTCAACTGTAAGCATTACACCACCCCTAATGGCTAGCCATGCTCCCATAATACTAAAAAGGGAAGTTGTGTGAGCTGCCTCTCTTCGTTCCTTTCAACCATAAACACAAGACCACCCTAATGATTATTCAGGCTCAAGGTTAGGAGGTCGTGCAGATTGCTGACATCAGCAAAGAGAGCCGATGGGAGGCACCTAGAACCAACCAGTGGATGTCTGGCCCTGTAAGTACTAGGGGCCTGAGTTACAAAGCTCTTTTGCCCCACTTTGCCCTTCTGCCTGTTCCTGCTGCTCTCCTGAGATCTTCAATACACATAACTACATCCTATGAGGTGTATGTTTGGCACTTCTTTCCTTGTCATACGCAGGAACCTGGACCATTTTGGCCCACTCAACCGTATCACTTAGTTTGCTAAAGAGTCTAAACATCCCCCGCATGCAGTCATAGCACACCGAGAATCAGCCTGTTTGGCTCGTCTCTGTCTCTCCCTGTGACACCCCCACACACACACACACCCTCACTCCTGTGTGGTTATCTCCCTAATTTCCCAAGAGATACATCTAAAGCTTTTTGCTGGAAACTGAAATTTAGCTTAGAGAATGGTATCAGTTTTTGTAACATCACCTCATATGAGTCCTGGATCACGCATTTGGGAACCAGTAAACAACAGCTATAGTGCCATGGTCTTTTTAAATGCTTAGGTCTTAGAACAGTGACTCAGGACCATGGGGTTGAAAGAGACCCAGAATAGTTTGGGAAGGGTGCAGTGAACCACTTCAGGTGAAGATAACACAAGTTTCTTCTTCCTCCAGAGGAGTTTTCCAACCCTTCCTGCACTAGGAACCTCATTCCCAAGAAAAAGAAACACACGAGAGACTAAGAGAGG